GTTTCCTTTGTATTTAGCATTTTTTCATCTTTTACTGTTCTGTGTATTTTTCTTTACTTTTCTCATTCTCTCCCCTAGTTTAGTTCTTTCCCTATGGTTGTGCTAAAACTGCTGATCCACTCAAACTATTGTGTTCTCTTCCAAGAATAATCTTCATTTTAGGTTCTGTATAGGAAGGACAGCCAGCTCTGCCGAGCTTTTTTCAGTAAACATGTAGATAAGCAGTCACTTTTGCTGAATATGAAAGAGGCAATGTTTGTGCTAAGATAGCCCTTTGCTCACTGCCATCTAATCCTTTCTTGTTTTTAATGTAAAATGTATTTTTATCAAAGTTAACACATGCACAAGTCTCAAAAAGTAAAGTTCTAGAAGATTTATCCTGAAATAAACAAAGCCCAAACCTATATTCTTCTGTCTCATCCTTTTCTTACCCTCAAGTACCATACCGCAGAAACAGCCACTTTCAACTCTTCTCTCTCATTCCCCTGGGATTTACCTCCATACTCCTGAATAATATACTCAGTAGCTTTTTTTCTCACCATTAAATTCTAAATATTATCTATTGACTTCCCACTTTGATATCTGAGAATTTATATTCCCCCCCACACATATATCCACACATCCATACTGCTCTTACGTCTTCCCATGAAATTGTTTCACAATCTTAATTTTATAAATATTCAGAGCTTACATTGTAATGACGATGTAACTGTCTTTACAAGTGCCTCTCAGAGTGTGTTATGATTATATTTCCTTACAACTTTTATTTATCTTGGAGTTAATTTCTAAAAAAAATTTCCCATGTAGCTTTCATTATTTTTCTTTTCCCTAAACTTTCTGACAGCATAATAAAACTCTGCTCAGTATGTTCAGATATTTTTGGTCTATAAGTTCCATGTTTTTACTTGGGGATAACTTTCCTAGAGCTCTCTAGTCTAATATAGCTTTGGAACCCAAGGATGGCTGGATAGCTGTTGGTTTAGGCCTTCTTTCATCAACATCTAGTTTTCTTCTCCTCTTAAACGTATTGGATCTCTGGTTTCCTTCATACCATATGTTCTTTACTGATGTGTTCTTCTTTGGGAAATACACCTTCCAGAAGAGTTCAAAGAAAAAAATGCGTAAGAAACAAACCTTCTGACATTTAGCATATCTAGAAGTATCTTTTGTCTAGTTTCATACCTCACTGATAGTTAGGAAAGGAATCCTTTTCCTCAGTACTCAGGGGGTGTTGTCTGTATCTGCCTGGGGTGGTGCTTGGGAGGGCGGAGGGCACTAACAAGTAAAAAAAAGTAATTTAGTATTAAAAGTGAGGCTGAGAATTTTTGTTTTTACTTTTTGGTTATGTTTGTTCATATTCTTTTCATACGCTATACCCATTTTTCTATTTGGTTGTTAGTCTTTTATTTTCAAATTTGTAGGAACTCTTTTTAAGTTAAAGAAATCAGCCCTTTTTTTACAATAGGAATTGCTAATATTGTCTTGCAAAGGCTCAGTGACATAGAGGGTATTTTGATAGCATGTTTTAAAGTTAAAAATGCATTCTACTCAGGGATTTATAGTATTTATCCAGCAGATATATTCACACATGTTGAAAATGACTTAGAAACAAGAAGTGTTTGCAAATAGCAAGACTGGGAGCAACCTCAGCATCCATCAATGAGATCTAGTTAAATGAATCATATTTATTTATTAGGTGGAATATTGTGCAGCCATATATAAAGAATGAAGCAGTTCTGAATGTACTAATAAGAAAACTTCTCTAAGACATTTTTTTACTTAAGAAATAAGGTGCAAAACAGTGTGTGCTGTAGTTACTACTTAGGAATTAAAAAAATACTATGTGTGTAATCAACGTATGCATTAGAACATCTCTGGAAGGATATTCAATAAACTGGTAAGATGGGTTGCCTCTGGAAGATGACTCAGTAGCTGGAGGTCAGGACTAGAAGGTAAATGCTTTTTCTTTTAGTAACAGGTTTATTGATATATAATTGATATACTATGCAATTTGCCAGTATTAAATGTATAATTCAATGAATTTTAGTATATTTAGTAGATTGTACAACTACCGCCACAATCTAGGTTGAGAACATTTCCATCAGCCTATAAGGAAATCTTGTGTCTATTTACAATTATTCTCCATTCTCCATTCCCACTTCCAGCCCTAGGAAACTACTAATATACTTTCTGTTTCTATATATTTACCCTTTTTGGGCATTTTGTGTATGCTTTTATAACTTTTGAATTTATTTTCTCTATTTTGGATTTAATCACCTATTTAAAAATACTTACCAAAAAATTACCTAATTGATCCTTTTCCCTCTTCTCCTAAGAAAACACTGCAGCATGAAAAAGTTAAGGAAAGTCTTTAGTACTATCAGTAGATGAGATGGGGAGCTAGGAATAAAATCAGAACATTATGAACAAGACCCTATTTTCTACTTTTATTGCATCAGTATTATATCTCATTTTGGCTTAGCATACACTGAAATTTAGATTTAATCATTGTTCACATAAGTGTAAATCACTGTAAAAGGTCAAAACATTTACCACTCAGAAGGAAAAGAACAAATCATTATACTGAAAGAAGATATGGGTATGAAAATAATACTGTACAGGCACTTCACTTTTTTATTGCCTTATTTTGTTAGGAATCCATAAACACTAATATAATCTTGTCATATATAAAAAGTTGGTTATCTGTTAATGTTGAGATTAATAATCTGCCCTATGGTTAACTCATAAAATCATACAAATTTAGATTTGGATGAGGTTTTAGAAATTTATCTATGACATTTTCTCAGATTTATTCTACTAGATACCAGCCAATCTAATTACTTTAGTGACATGTTTAACCTTTGTGAAAAATCTCTATATAGATTTATTTGTAGGAATATTGTTGGATGTTAAAAATCCAAAGCCAAATTTGTAACTGGTTCCTTCTCAAGTGAATAATAACAGTTAATAACAAAAATAATAAAGATGATGATAGCACCCTTTGTGGAGTATTTATTGTAGTCAAAGTCACTAAACTAGGGAGGTGCTTCGAATATATTAAGGCATTTAGAACCTCACAACCATTTAGGGTGAAGGCCTTATCTTTAATCCCATTATTTGCAATAAAGGAAACTTTTTCTTGGAGAGGTTAATGAACATGTTTGTTCATTACATGAAAGAGCCTAAATTTGAACCCAGACTTTAATCAACAACATGCTTTTGTGATATATGTTGTTACATTGTCCACATTCCTGACTCCACTTTATATTTTGTCCTTTTGTTTTATTCCTTATTTTACTTATTTCACTAGTACCTTATGTGCCTTGACTTGTAGAGAACCTTAAATCTTTTCTAGAAAGTGATGGGTTTAAATAAGCAAGCATATTGACTACTGTTTGTAGTTTTGTACTATACTAGAAGAAAAAATAATAAAGAAAAATGTGTTTCTGTGAATACTGTAATTTCTTTTGACACCTGAGGACAGGCTTCCCCTCATGGGACAGTTTGTCTTTGCCAAGGTAAAGCAAGAGCCCATGAATCAGTATTGATCCAGTCAATGTGGGGAATACAGATAATTATGCTACAGTTCCTGCCCTTTGGGAGCTTACATCTAACTGTTGAGTGAAAAACACATGTACAAAGCCACAATATGTGAAAAATGATTATTAATGGCACTGATAATGGGTCCTTTACGTATCATAAGTCGATGGTTAAGGCAAAGCGAAGGTGTTGTAGAAATGGATTTTTGTTTTTAAAGGATTGCCAATCCCTGAGGCAAATAAAACATTTTCAATACTTGAGTGCTTTGAAGAGCTCTGTAACAAAATATTTGGACAGGATTCTTTAATGTTGGTCCAACTTAAAAATAATAGAATTGTATGAATTATAAAGAAAGTACCATTTAGTACAGTGAAATTCCAAATAGTAAAGGGGTAAGAGACTTCCATAAGAGAGATACAGGAGAACCCAGAGGGCACTGAGAGTTACTGGAGAGAGATAGAGAGTATTATTCATTACCCAGGATTAAATGTCTGTGTGTGTGTGTAGTGTGGCTGGGAAATGGTGTAGTGACAAAGTTGCAGGCAAAAAGCGCTTGTCAAATTTTCCAAAAAGGGATGCTTTTCAAACTTTGTTGATCCTCTGATAAAAACATGCTAAAGGAAATGACTAAATGCTCTATTAAAATTAAAATGGAGACCCTGAGATACATAGAAAAGGGAGTACATTTGTATAGACCGTTTTAATGTTTCTTCCATGTCTAACCAATGGTGAAGGCTGAATGCCTCCTACCTTCATTTTCCCTTTCAAGCCGCCCCCATTGATAGATTCTAACGATTGGGAAGCATTTTTCGTGCCAAATCTTAAACATATCGCTCAACCTGTGTTCATTTCCACCCAGACATTATGACTATTTCCTACAGGTGCCCACTAGTCATCAACAGAGGTGAGAATCACATTTTCCTCCACTTGGCATGGGGCTACAGGCGTCGGGAAGCAAGAGCCTGTATTTGTCTGATGACATCTACTTGATTTGGAAAATACTGTTTTTACTAAGCAGTGATCTTGTTTAAAGGGATAAAGTTTTTTTGTGTTCAGATAATGGAAGGGCTCTACAAATAAAAGACAGCATAGGTGGAGAGGTACAATTTCCTTGGACCGCATGGGTCGAAGGCTGGGACTTTGTTTGGAGGGAAAAGCGTGGCAACGCAGCAGCAGTCTGCCCTCCAAGGTCCAGGTCAGCGGATGTGGAGGGTTGGGGGTGCTCCACCACACAGCCCAAGAAGGACGATGGCGACTTCTCAGAAGCGCGTATAGAAGGAACCCAGAACGCCGTGCTTCACAGCAGCAGGCCTGGGCCGGGAGGGCGGAGGGCCACAGGCACGCGTCGGCACGGAGGGAGCGACGGCGTTGGAACCCACACCCCCCTCGGCCCGAGCCCGCCGCTCGCCTCCCGCAGCCGGGCGCCGGCGCGCTCGGCTCTTTCCGCCGTCGCCGCTGCCGCGCGCTGCCCCGTGCGCTCCGGCACCTTCGGCAATTTCCGTCGGGCCCTGGCCGCCATTTTCTCGCCGCTTGTGTGTCTCGCTGGCTGCGTGGCTCGGTTCTTGTGAGCGAAGCTTTTGTCCGGTTCGGCAATGGACGGGTATGTAAAGGGGCCAGCGAGGAGGTGTGTGAGAGGGAAGTGGGGCTCTTCTTCGGCCCGGTTCGGGGTCGGCCAAGAAACCCTCCGGCGGCCCCTCCCAGGGCTGGGCTGCCGTTACCCAACCGCCGCCCCATCGCACACACCCCTCCCTTTGCTTTCCCCGCGGGCTCTGGTCGAGAAAACGGGGAGAAAGCGGGCTCGGCAGCCGGGGAGGCTTTGGGGCGATGGCGGGGGAGACGACCGCAGAGCGGGCGCGGGCGCGGGCTCGGCGGCGGGGGATGGGGCGGGAAGCCCAGAGCGTCGCGCCGGTCCCTGCCCCCTCCAGGAGCCATTTCGATCCGTAACCTGGGACCCGAGCCCCGAGCTGGCGGCTCCTGCGGGAGCGAGTGCGGTGGCCGAGAGGCAGGCCTGTTCGGGGGGCCCCGGGGCGAGAGGAGGGAGGCACTTCGGCGCCCCTCGGCCGACCCGGACCTCTGCGGCCTCGCCCGGCCCGCCCTGGCCGAGGGAGATGCCGGTGGCGGGAGCTCGGGGAGAGCGCCCGGGAGCCGCGGGGGGAGGGGAGCGCGAGGGCGAGATGCCACACTCCTTTGTTTTCACTGGAGTCTGGTCGTGGGGGCGGGAGGCAGGGAAAAATGCCTTTTTGTGGGGCCTAAGAACATTCAAGGCTTGGCAAAAGGGCCCAGAAATTAAATCATTAATAAACGGAGTGTTTGTGGCCGACATCAGTCACATGGGCGAAGACCAGCAGCCATGGCAGAAACAAGAGCCCATAGTCACAGGGCCATCTTTTTTAGCTACTTTACCCAGTTTCTGGAAAAACAAAAACAACTACAAAAAGCTAGATTCATGCTGCATCTTTGAGAGCCTGAGTGAAAATAATGCCGAGTGAGGTGAGGCCAGGGCTCTGGGAAATGACATGGACCAGGGTCTCCCTGGTACTTAATGTTCCACATCTGAAAAGGCTTCACAATTCAGCTCATTGTTGGAAGACACCCTTTAGGGTGAAAATACAGCTGTAATCAGCCCATTTGAGAGCTAAAAGCAGTATCATTGTAAATGTACGCTTATTAGAATTAATGATTATTTGAAGAGGCAGAAGTAAATTATGAGTTTATTTTGCTAATGTGTCTGAAGTTGGGTGTTTTTAAAGATACTAAGTCAAGACCATATAAAAGTTAATAGAATAACAAAACTTAAATCATTTTAGAGGTTATCTGGAGATTATTTTCCAGATGAAACATAGTTCTAGAGAAGTTCAGTATTCCCCTTAGATCAGCTTGGAAATTGATGGCAAAACTTGCACCGGAATTAATGTTTCCCAATTCTCTCAAGATGCCTAGGAGTTTTAAGTTTTTAAATTACTAATCGAAGTGTACTAGCTTTGTAGAAATAGCATTATAGTGTTTGAGATTTTGTTCTTTTTGCTATTTACAATGTTTAAAACATACCCTAAGTTTAGTCAATTTCATCTTACATTTGCAAGTCATTTCTGGAAAACCAAGTTAATATCAGTACAAAGAAATGTCACTGACTGTGTATTTGTTTTGCATCTGCCTCGTGAGTGGAAAATTATGAATGATGAACTACCCTAAAAAGTTTCACAGTCGAACAGTGACCATTAAAAGAATAACGAAAAGTTGAAACTATTTTTTTTTTCGTTGCAGAATTGTCACTGAAGTTGCAGTTGGCGTAAAGGTAGGAAAAGACTGTTTGAAACTAATGAAAACTGCATTGCTGAACCTACTATTATCATTAATGGAAATTTACAGTTAGCTTTTGAAAACTATGATATACTTAATAAAACCCAAGTGTGAAGTGTTTTAATTTTTAAGTTGAATTAAATAAATAGTTTATAATTAAATAGACAAAAACCTTAAGTTTTTCTGGAAAGGTAGTCTGTGACTAACATGAAATTGGTATGAGTGGTGTTCAAGGAATTAAGCTTTCAGACATCGCTTTCTGTGCATGTAAATGATATTCCAGTTTTCTGAGGGGAAATTACGATTTTAAATGGACAGGTAAGTGATTTGACCTACATCATATACCTCTATTAATCTAAGATTTTTGTTAATTTTTTTGTCTTATGAAGACTCACGTATCTGTGAAATTATAAAAGTACATTAGAAATCAAGTACCCTTAGCAAAGAAACTTTAGACAATTAGCTTTAAATTAGAGTCAAGTTAAAAGAGCTGGTTTTTCCTTTCTGTTAAAGGAAGATGGGCCTTATGGTAGAGATCATTTGGAATCTTCCCTCCCTCCCTTCCTCCCCTCCACCTGCCTTGCTTTCCTCACAGTCTTTTTCACCGGGAGAGCTACTCATTCCTTAAACCTTAGTTCAGTATTTAGGTCTTTCATTTCCTTGAATCCTTGCACATTTTAACATCATGATGTATTACTTGCTTGCAAGTCTGTCTGCCCTGTTGGGGCATGGTACTTGTCTTCTTTCTAATTTTCCAATCCTGGCACAGTATCTTTCAAGCCTAGTACTCAAATGCTTGTTAGGTACAGTGACACTTCCCCTCTTCATGTGTTTTGAGAGGCTGTGTGCTTAGTCTGATGATGCAGACTGGTCAAAGTATTGTTTTGGAATTAAGATTTCATCCGTGACTGTTGATACTCTTTAGAATATTTCTGTAAATATTTGGTATTTTCTTGCTTATTTTCTGCCTTCAGCCCTATACTGAACTAGATACTTGTCTATGCTTAAGTATTTAGACTTATTTGTTGAGTTCACATTATATAGATTGGGGGAGAAATAATGAGCTTTTTTGGGGTAGGCGTATTTATTTTCATATGGCAATGATACTGTCTAAGTTGACGTAGTTGTAGGATTTGAAATTGGAAATAGCTTGAGTGCAGGATGTAGATATATTGTAGTTACCATCCAAATAGATATCCCCTGGAAGTGAATTTTGTAAAAGAATAAATGAATGCAAGTCTGAATTGTTCACAATTAATGGATGAGGAGAGAAGGAACTCAGGTAAGACCTAGAATGAGTAGGCTGTGAGAAATGAGGAAAGTCAGACTATGATGTCCAGATAATAGCTTATGGATTATACCAGTTTTCTGTATTAGTGGTTTGAGGAGAAAACATTAGACAATGATATAAGAAATAATTGCTAACCATTTTTTATCCATTGTTTAATATAAAAATTTGAATAAAGTTATATAATTTTTGGAATAGTCAAGAATTTTTGCTTTGAGTCATGCCTGTGTACAAATAATCCCTCAAATTAAAAAAAAATAAGTAATACATGTGCATAGTTAAAAAATTCAAAGTGGAAAGTATTTCTCCATTATTTCTAGTCCTGTTCCTTGACTGTAGGTAATTTAATATTTTCTGGTGCATATTTCCTGAAATTACTAATTTATATATTACCACTCACATTAACATTCTTGTTTGTTTACACATATGGATTCATACTATGTGTACTGGCCCACACCTTACCTTTGTTAAAAAAAAAATAGCCTTTTTGAAACTAATGTGACACATATTTGTAAAGTATACAATGTTTTGGCATATTTATATACCTGAGCAAAGTAATGAGCATTGATCACCCCCCCCCAAAAGTATCATTTGTTTTTTTGTAGCCCCTCCTGTCTTCCTTTCTTTCCCCAAGCAGTCACTGATAACACTTTGTCACTATAGGTTAGTTTGCATTTTTTATAATTTTAAATAACAGAATCAAATGGTATGTATCCGTTTTTGTCTGGTTTGTTCCACTCAGCCTAATTATTTTGAGATTCACCCATGTTGTGTATCAGTTGTCTTTTCCTATTGCTTAGTTATATTACACTGTATGGAATACAGCAATTTGTTGATCTGTTCAACTCTTGATGGATAGTTAGGTTGTTTTCCAGTTTGGGGCTGTTGCACATAACGATGCTGTGAACATTCCTGTACAAGTTTTTTTCCTGTAAACTTTCATTTCTCTTGGGAAATGCCTCTGATTGGAATGGCAGGATCATATGGTATCATATGTTCAAGTTTTTACAAAACTGCAAACTATTTTCCAAAGTGGTTGTACTATTTTACATTGCCACAGAAGAGTATGAGTTTTCCAGCCCTTCCACGTCCTCTACAATGCCTGTGATTGTCTTCTTTTTGATAATAGATAGTCTAGTGGATGTGAAGAGGTAATCTTGGGGTTTTAATTTGCATTTCTCTAAAGTCTGTCGTGTTGGATATCTTCTTATATGTGCTTTTTTGCCAGCTGTGTCATTTTTTTGAAGTGTGTTTAAATTCTATTGCTCACTTTTTTAATTGTTACTTTTTTATTGAGTTTGAAAAGTCGTAATTCTGCTTACAAATCTTTTATCAGATACATGGTTTATAAATATCTTCTGCCACAGTTGTTTTCATTCTCAACAGTGTGTTGAAGAGCAGCAGTTTTTAATTCTGAAGAATTTCAGTTTACCAACTTTTATCTTGTATGTATCACACTTTTGGTGTCATATTACCATCTTTGCCTAACCCAAAGTCTCAAAAGATTTTGTTGGTTTTCTAACAGAAGTTGTATGGTTTTTGGTTTTGCATTTAATGTTTTGAGTTAATAGGGTACAAAGCATGAATCAAAATTTTTTGGTTTTGGATATGGACATCCACTTTCTCCATCACCATCTGTTCAAAAGACTATATCCATTCTCCATTGAATTGGATTTTCACCTTTGTAAAAAATCAGTTATCTATGTGTACGTGGTTCTATTTCTACATCATTTCCTTTTCCATTGACACATTTTTGTCCATCTAGATGGCAAAAACGTACTGTCTTAATTACTGTGGTTTTATATTAAGTCTTGAAACTGCGTAGTCATGGTCCTCCACCTTTTTTCTTTTCCAAGTTGTTTTGATTCTTCTAGGTCCTTTATATTTTCTTATGAGTCCATTTCTACAAAAAACTATTAGTGTTTTATTGGAATTAATTTGAATCTATAAAGCAATTTGGGAAAAATTGACATGTTAACAATATTGAGTTTTCTTAACCATGCACACAACTTCTCTCTGTTTACTTAGATCTTTTTAAATTTCCTTCAGTGTTTTTGGTTTTCAGTGTGTAGCTTTTGTACATTTTTGTCAGAGTTTATCCATTTCATATTTTTTGGTGCTATCATGAATCATTTTAAAAAATTCAGTTTCCAGTTGTTAGTGCATAGAAGTCAAGTATTTTTGCATATTGCTTTTGTATTCTGCATCCTTGCCGACCTCACTTAATAAACCTAACAGCTTTTTTGTAGATGGCTATCAGATTTTCTGCATAGACTATTTATTTTCATTCCGTTCCTATCTGGATACCACTTTTTTCTTTTTCTTGTTTATGGTATCTAGTACAGTGTTGAATAGAAGCCATGAGAGAGGGCATCTTTACTTTGTTCCTGATGTCAGAGGGAATGTCCAAAATGATGTTGCTTTCTTAAATGTGTGAGCCTGATGTTTTCTTTGAGGGAAGGTTTTAAACGGGACATTCAGTTTATTTAATAGACAGAGGAATATTCGGGTTATCTATTTCTTCTTGAGTGAGCTTTGGTAATTTATGCCTTCCATAGAATTAGTCCATTTCATCAAATTTACTGAATTTGTTTGCATAAAATTATTTCTCACACTACTATTTTGTACTCTTGATATCTGTAGAATCTGTAGTGATGTCACCTTTCTCATTCCTGATATTAGTAGTTTGTGTTTTTTCTCTTTTTAGACACCTCTCGCTACAGGTTTACTGATTTTTACTAATATTCTCCAAAAATCTGTTTTAGTTTTATTGTTCTTTGTTGTTTTCTTTCCTATTTTTTTGATGTCTGCTCTCTTAATTTTCTAATGCTTTGTATTTAGTTTGCTGATGTCATTGACCTTCCTTTTCTAATATAGAGGTTTAGTGTATGTATTTTCTGTTACTGCTTTAATGGCATCCCTCAAATTTTGATATGTATACTTGTTTTCATTCAGTTCAATGTATATTGTTATATTTTTATTTATTTTTGACTCATTTGTTATTAAGTATGCTCCTTAATTGCCAAATAACGTTTTCCACAGATCTTTCTGTTCCTGTAATTGCAGTGTGGCTAGAGAATACATTTTGTAAGCCTCTAATCTTTGTAAATTTGTTGAGACTTCTTTTATTGCTCAAATAGTACATATTGTGTTAGTTTTATATGCATCTGACACGGATTTGCACTTTGCTGTTGTTGGGTGATGTGTTCTATATATGTCAGTTAAGTCACGTTAGTGTTGTTCAAGTGATTTCTACCTTTTCTCATTTTCTATTTCATCCCTTGAGAGGAGGGTATTGAAATCTCCCTAACTTGTGCATTGGTCTGTTTCTCCCAGTGGTTCTACCAGTTTTTGCTTTATGTTTTTGAAGTTTTATGATTAATGCGTCAATGTTTAGGATTGCTATGTCCTCTTGATGCATTTATTGTTGTTACTAGTTTATTTATTACTATCCCTTTGTTATAATGCAAGGACCATTTTGTCACTGTTAGTATTCTTTGCTTTAAAATCTACTTTTTTTGCATTAGTACAGCTATCGGAATTCACATGGTGTATCTTTTTCCATTCAACCTATTTGTGTCTTTAAAGTGTGTTTCTTGTAGACAGCATAAACTTGGGACTTTAAATCCAGACTTACCCTTTTTTAGTTCTTAGGACTGTACACAGTTAATGTTATTACTAATATGGTTAGTTTGAAAATTACCACT